TATGTATATATATATATATATACATATATATACAGGCATATACATATATACATTTATACATTCGTGCATATACACATTCATGCATATATGCATTCATGCGTATATACATTCGTGCATATATACATTATACATGTATATATAATATGCATATATGCATGCATATATATAAGAACATATATAAGAACATGCATATATATAAGAACATGGTTCTTAACTTGACAAATAGGTTCATAATGAATTTCAAGATTTTCACAGAGTTGACTATAAAGTTTGCTCATTCAACAACTGGTGATTTGAGTAATATGTTTGTTCTAGAATTTGGTAGATAAAAAGTCAGCTCTTTTCTAGAATTATTTCATGGAAAATGAAAGTTGAAGTGGGAGAGTAATTCGGGACAGTCAATCAGATTATTCACTAGTTTATAAATGAAAATTATAGAGTAGTAGGTTCTTCGGTTTTGAAGGGATTATAGATTAAATTTATTCAGTAGTATTCTGTTGTCGATGCCTTGTTCAGGGTAAACTCCTAGCTTGTAAGTAATATATTTCATGAAGCCTCTTTGTATAGACTCGATTTTGTTTATGTGGACATTGTATAGAGGTGACTATATAAGGGAGGCATATTCCAGCCGAGATATGACGTATGCATTGAAAAGAGTTAAAAAACTGTCTCTGCTACGAAAGTTCTCACAGTTACGATAGATGAGCCCTAGCATCCGTTTGGCTGAGCATGTTATTGTGTCAGTTTAGGGTCAAATGTGACACCAAGATCCCTTTGATGAGTGCTTATTTGAAGAGGTGTGTTATTTATGCAGTAATCATGAGAAATAACATGTTTAAGGGTGTATTTTGAGTATTTACATTTGCTTGTATTGAGGGGAAGATTATTTTCGGTACACCAAAGGTACAAAAGTCAAGGTCTTTTTGTAAGATTAAGCAGTCCTCCTGTGATGTAATAGGCCAAAATATTTAAGAGTAAGAAATTGCTAGACAGATTATTTCCTATGTCGTTAATGAAGAGTGAGAATAAGAGAGGTGCTAAATTTCTTCCTTGAGGAGCCCCACTGTTTGCAATAAATTGGAACGACTTGTGGCCCCTATAATCTACAAATAGGATACGTTCAGTTAAGTATGAGCGGAAAAGGTTTAAGAATGAGAGTCGAATCCATATTGGTGAAGTTTATTGATAAGAATGTTATGATCCAACTTGTCAAACGCCTTCGAGAAATTTGTGTAGACAGTATTTACTCGTAGGTTATTATTAAGTGCATTACTTACTGATTGTGTAAAGCACATCAAGTTAGTTATTGTTGATGTTTTGCTAAAGAAACTGTGTTGATTGTTTAAAATTAAATTCTTATCAGGAAAGATTATGTTGTACAAGCACATCTCAAAAGCCTTTGTAAAGTTTGATAACAAGGTTATAGGTCGGCAGCTTCGAATATTGTTTATGGCACTAGCTTAGAAAATTGGACAAATTTTTGATATTTTCCATTTGTTAGGAAAGCATCCTGTACTCAGTGCTAGATTTTGTATTTGTATTTTGTATTTATTTTATTAAGTAGGCAAGCCTATTATACAAAAAAAGAAAAATTACAAATTCATAAATATCTCACGACATTAACTATGTAAATATAGTAACATTTTGAAGTATCTTTCAAGGAAAACCAAATATACGTACATATCTATAGATTATTAGGTTAGTTCACATTAAAAAAATAAAAAAAATTACAAATATCATAATGAGCTGTCACTAATATACTTCTTTAATGATGACTTAAATTAGTTTATTGAATTAGATTCTTTTACAAATTGTGGTAGTTTATTAAATTCTTTTAAGCCTTTATGAAATATACTATTCATTCCAAATTTAGTGTTATAACAATTTATTGGTATTAAAGTACTGAATTAATTGGTTATATACAGACATTTCTAACACTTTTTCAAGAGTTGGTAGTATATTTAATGGTCTAAAATGTTCAGCTTTAATTGAGTTAATTTTCGGTACAGGAACAACAGTGGAAATCTTAAATTGATCTGGAAACACACCGGTTCTAAGTGATGTGTTAATTAAATTCAATATTGCGTACCCAGCCACATCAAAGCTTTTTTTTAAGAAATTATCATTTAAAATTTCTGCTTTGTTAGTTTTGTCAAGCGAGAATATAATATTTCTTAGAAGATTGACTGTAATGGTATGGCTGGGAGGTGTGCACAATCTTTAACGAAAAAGCTAGGTATGTTATCACCCCGGCTTGTGAGTTTTGGTTTTAGTTTGTTGAGGGAATTGCAGATTTCAATTAGTGAAAAATGTTTTAAAGAAATTATAGGATTGTTTGAGGTAACATTCGTGTGTTCATATGATTGTAGGGGTGGAGAATATGCACTATATCATGTAATATTGACAAAGTACTTACATCCATACATAATCGAGTCATAAAATACAAACCTAACCATATCACTCACCTCAACCTTGCTGACCACTTCAGCAATATATGCCCTGTCCCTGTTGGTCGGAATACCATACACCTGCGCTTTCAAATTAGCTGCCGCAAGGACGTAATCCAAATGGAGAGGATTATTGATATCGAAAGTGAGCGCTTCCGGGCAACGTTTTGGCCCCGACCAGAACAACTGGCCGGTGGTTGTGAGCTGATCCGGAGGAAAGTTGAACAACAACTGCCTAATCTGGTTCGAGTACTGCTCCTGCCAGTGGTTGCGGGCCCAGGCGATACAGTCTTCAAAAGATTTGGGCCTCTCGTCGACCAAAGCTGCCTTGACCGATTCGAGGACTTCCAAGGGCTGCACTCCAGGTAACTTGAGGGTGCGATCGATGAAACCGGCATCCTTCAAGTACTGCGACGCGTTCTCGGCGTTCTGCCTGAAGAGCCCCTCGAAGTTGTCGCGAGCCCACTGCAAAGTGTGTTCGATGGCGTTCGGGAAGTTCTTCAGGGTGCAGATGGGTATGCTCTTCTCAGGGGGGTCTTGGGACGAGCTGTACGACTCAGATAAGAACGGAACAATGACTTGAGTGTTGCCTTTCGTACCGAGCGTCCCAGATTCCAGCAGAGGTTTGCGGTAGTAGACGCATCTGCGGTCCATGTATATCCTGGCGTCGACGTTGTCCAAGGCGTTGGCAACGCCATCAAGTTTCTCGAAGAAAGCGTCATTGTAGATGCTTTCCGTCTCCGGGCCTACGCGGTTCTCGTGGGCCACGACGTTTACTTCAGGGTTCATCTTTTTGATTACCTAGAATGACAAAGTGAACTGCTGGTACACTCCTCTCAATCATATGTTCATCTAATCACTTATATTTGATATAATATTTTCATTATATATCATGTTATGTTCACAGACCTATGTACATGTTAACACATTCTTTATTTCTTATTGTTTTTTTTTTCAATTGTATGTATATTAGAATAAGTATTCTATTTAATAAAAATTCATTCATTATCTTTATTTTATTGTGTTGACAATTTCCTATACAACATCATATTGTCTTCATGGAAATAGTATTATTATGATTATTATTATTATTATCATCAAGTGTTTTGCGTGTCTTCATGGGAATAAAGTATTATTATTATTATCAAGTGTTTGGCGTGTTCAGAGATTTTCTGCTATCAAAGAAATTACATCTAATTTTGTGTTGAAAATGGAATTGGGTGCTCAAAAACACTGGAAATGTTGACAGTGCCATACGGTGATTGTACTCTGAATCAGAAAAATGTTTACAACCTCACTATGTTTTAACTTCCGCAAAACTAACATTCTATTATTTAAATTTGTGCATGGAAATTTCTGCCTTCAAACTCATATGATAGAAAATAAACAATCTGCTAAATTCTTGGGAATTTGGATTGATAACTTTCTGAAATTTGAAGATCATATAAAATATCTGAACAAAAAACTTTCATCTAGCTGTTATGCCATTAGAGTTATCACTAAAGAACTGGGAGCAACTGCTGGTAAAACTGCGTACTACGCTTTAATCGAATCTCACTTGAGATATGGTGTCGCCTTCTGGGGGTTTTGTAGCAAACAGTTACTACAGTCTGTTTTCGTTTTGCAAAAAAGAGCAGTGAAATTCATCTACAAAGCCAATATTAGGGACCATTGCAAACCCCTATTTATCAATAATAAATTACTGACTGTACACTGCATTTTTATCTTGGAAACAGTAAGTCTCATATTTAAAAGAAGAGNGTCGAAAATATTTTAGTTGGCTAGAGAATGTCCGAATATGCCCTCCATTAAATTTTCAAAGTGATCCGTTGTCTGGTTCACCAGAAACGTCTAATGTGCCATCCACCGTGAATCAGCCTGTATATGTGTATGTTATTTTGTGTAATAGTATTGTTTTCATATGATTTGTCAATAAGATTTTTTTCTTAGACAATAAAGTACAGTGATTAATTGAAATAAGCTCGAAATCATCAAAAATTGAGGTCTTTCATATATAATGAAAAAAAAAAAGTTTAACCATTTGCCAATTGAGATCAAAGGCATAACATGTACCATTAGATAGGTGGTGGTTGTATGCCAGTGGATTCACATAAATTTTGTTTTTTTTCCGACATCATTTCATTCTCTGCTGCCTGTTTACAAGCTGTAATAGCTGTAAATAAAGATTACTATCATTATTATTAAAATTACCTTTGCTGCTGTAGCAGACTTTGGCTGCTGCACATTGTGGGGTCTAAACAGAAACTGCCTGTTCAAGTTGGACTTTTCAATCAAATCCATATCCGTCACCGTTATTTGTCCCTCAGTGCCCACACCCATCATTGCAAAATTTTTCAAAAGCTCGCATCCTATGGCGCCAGCGCCGACTACGAAGTATTTCAGTGCGGCTGAAAATAAATGTTCACTCTGTTACACATCCCGTTCATTACCCAGTAATTCGTTTTTACCTAGTTTCTTTTGGAATTCTTTTCCGAAAACTGCAATCTGCCCATCATAACGACTGCCGAAGGGAGCAGCTAATTCTTCTGTGATTTCAGAACGATCTTGGGGTAGACATTCGATCGAATCGAAATAGAGCCATTGATAAATCGGGTGGAACTTCCCGGAGCAAGCCTTCATCACTTCCTGGGCCACAACGCCTCCGATCGTGGCATTCATCGGATTCAAATCTCCTGCCGCAACTTTAGCAAACGTTTCCAATAAACTACCATTGACTTCAGTATCATTTGAACCGTCTACAGCTATAGACTTTGCCAAAGAAACAAACTCGTCAGCGTCTTCGTTGCTCCAAGGTTTGGGAACCCTACCGTTCTTCTCGACGTATTTGTGGAGGGTGGTGAAAGCTAAGTGGAGTTGCTGGGGGCTGTCAATCTTGGCGAAATCCGTTATGACGAACTCTGGAGCCAGCAGCGATTCTTTGAGGGGTTTGAAATGCAGCTCTTTTGGCATTTTGACCTGAGATGCGTTACCGCCTCTTTCATATTTCCCGAAGGATGTAGTGTCGCCGATGCTGAAAGTATAGGGTCCCAGTACTTTGATTTTGATGGGCTCGCAGTTATTCAATTCTGTCATGCCTTGAACTTCGGAGAATGTCACGTAATCCCCGTCTTCCATACCATGCCTGGTATCGTCTATAAAAGAATAAGACAAATAGGATTGTCAAAATTACTGTCCAAAGCAGCTTCATCAGATATTAGTTACATATTTGGAAATATACTGTTTAAAAAAAAAAATAACCTCAATGTCGACTCACGAAAACTATATAGAAACGGTACAAATATACAGAGCTAGTGAAATTCAAGTCAATGAGGATCTGAAAAAAGTAAATGAAAAGGACTCAAAAGATACATTCTGAATTTTTAAAATATCTAATTCTTACTAAAGATGACTGAAGTGATAAGATATCGCTGGAAATATGGAAAATTTTTACATATACAAGATCTGTTAAAAAAAAAATAAGGTGAATGTTAAAGACCCATACCTCAGCTACCATATTGACCAGATTTGGACCCCTAAGACTTTTTCTTTAACCAAGATTAAAGAGACCCATGAAAGGATGGTGTTTTGCAATGCTTGAGATGAAAACAAAATCGCCGAGAGTGCTCAAGGACATACCAAAAAGTGCATGTATTATACTTGAGTGGGAAAAAGTTCAAAAAAGATTTCTTAGATATCTTTATGTCAAGATTTATGGCTGCTATCCCATTATGGTGTCTTACAGAAGCATGCTCAAGGAATTTAACATTGTTACTTTACAGAGCAGGCGTGCGTTACAGGATGTTCTTTTTGTATACTATATAATTAATAATGTAAAGTACAAGGGATCATCTCTGGTCAACTATGTAAAATTGTTGGTGCCTAAGGTAAACCTGCGTAGACTAATATTTCTAACCTACTGAAGACTTTTCCATAATGTATGGTACCTTGTATTGTAACTTCAGTAGAAAATAATTTTTTTTTTTTTTAACACATTCACAAACTTACACATATAATAATAATATGCCAAGTTTCCTGTGCAAAGAATCACTAGTAGAAGTGACCAATGTTTTTACCTACCAACACCCAGAATCATTATGTTATTTAAATCTCCCTTATTTGCAATGTGCCATAAATTAAATCAACTATGCGAAAAAGTTTTGTTCAATGAAGGTATTATTTTTACAGTATATGTATATTTTTTATATTTATTTATTCATTAATGGGTTACACCCAATTAAGTTTAAGAGATTTCACAATAAATTATATGAATACAACAAATAATTACATCTAACTTACTTGCTAAAAGTAAAACTAATTTATTAATAAAAAAAAATAACAGTGAGAAAATAAATTTACCGNCAATCTCACATATCGTATTCAGTACTTGTCTGGGGCCATGTGCCCAATGCATCAGATTTATTTGGCATCCAGAGAAGAGCAATTAGGATTCTTGATAACCTTTCTTACAGGCAAGACTGTAGAAGTAGCTTCATAAATAATAAAATACTTACACTTCCATCATTATATATATTGCAATGCCTGCTACATGTTAAAAAACATATAAGAGGTTATACTACACATGATGCAATCCACAGTTATAACACTCGAAATAATTCAAATCTGTATCTCCAGAACCATAGAGTCAACAGAACCAGAACTGGCGTAAATTATTATGCTCCAAAAATGTATAATTCGCTTCCCCAAAATATCAAAAATCTACCTTTGAAGGAGTTCAAATACAGAATCAAAAATTTTTTAATTAAAAAAGCTTTTTATTCCTTAGATGAATATTTTAGTGATGGTTTTCGAGACATGTAATACCACTTAATCATATATATTTTAACTTGTTTTATATTTCTATTTCATAGTTAGTTTTATTTGCACAAATGTATGTATATCTATAGTAATTGTCCATTTAATCATTCAAGTTATCTGAATATTTTATATTTTGCATTTATAGATAAGCAATATCTGTTATGACCTGTGTAAACTTTGTATTAGCACCAAATATATACTACTACTACTACTACTATATTTAACACTTCCATCCCAAAATTGTTTCGGAGTCTATTATGAAAATTGATAACACTGCAAAAAATATATTTTTTTCTAAATGGTCGCTCTTATGCGAAGGGACCTCAGAACAGTAGCATGGCGAGTATTCTGACTGTGAATTCTAAAGTTTGTCAAGTACAAGTCAAGGTTCCTATGCACTAAAACGACACATTACAAGTGAATGAATTACAACTGAAATCCCCTACAACAATTTTACATCTGAATAAATAAAGATCACCTACCTATACAGGTGACAACACCTTCCTTATCTTTGGAAATATCAGCAATCATTGCCGAAACGGTCGGTTCCCCATTGGTATCAACGACGGTGAAAGACTCCCCGAAATCACAGAACACCTGGGCGAATAAGCCCCTAGTATCTGCGATAATCAGGGCGATGTTATTTGAGTGAGTGATTTCACTGATGCGCAGCTGTTCAGACCTTGAACTCGTGGTAAGGACCACGACGCTGAAGTTTTTGATGAACTGTTCGTCGAGAGGGCCCGTGTACGCCTTCGTGGGTACATAGTTATTGAGTTCTGACAGAGATTTGCAACAAGCCTCCGCTCTGTTCTTCCCGACATCAGATTCTGAAATATGATATGATTATGATTTTACACTGCGGTCTACTTTCGGAGTCGAAGCCACTAAAAACTTGAAAAAAAAGACTTGAGTATTTCAGGAACTAATATTTGGCAATGAGAAACTCATGAAATGATATCTTCCTTTTATGATCACATGCTATGGACCTTCATTCACTTGCCACTGCCTTTTGTTTCTTTACGAGACTCAATTTCTGGTAGAGTTTCGAATATGCTGCACCCGACCATTTAAAAAAAATGTGTACTTACTGATTCCGATACTGTTCAGCCTTTTTATGAACAATGCAAACTAAAGAATCACAAGTATTTCACCTTCTTTGACACTTTTCAGTTCAATAATCAAAATGTTTCCAATAAAAACGTGATTCAACAATGGATTCATTCTCTGTCATCCCTACATTGTGAGGTTATGTACTAGTGACATTAGGAAAAAAGAGGAGCTCCATACATTAATGAAGTTTTTTACAGAATGAAAGTTGATTATTGAACTGAAAATTGTCAAACAAGATGAAATAAGATGTGAAGAATAAATACTTGTGATTCTGTAGATTGTATTTTGCAAAAGAAGGCTGAAAAGTTACAATTTAGGAACTTTGGATGGTTCTAACTGTGGAAATAACCAAGAGCTCAATTTCCACTAAAGTGTATCTCCAACAATAAATATACCACCAGAAATGGCGACAACCTCCTTATGCCACAGCATTGCCTGGCAACCACCGATGAAAGTTTCGTAACCGTGAACTAAGGTTCTATAACTTCTTCCACCTTATTCGAGAAATATGCATTGTTAACTAGTAACAGCTCCATCTCGTGATATAATTCAATATTCAGGTTGGTTTTCATTGTTTATACTAATGATATTCATTACTATTAAATGAAGGAAGTTGATTGAACACTTCAAAAAATTATATTTTTCAACATGTGATCATTAGGTTAGGCATTACTTTCTTCAACTCCTTTCTTCTTTCTATATAGGTACAATCTTCCTTGGTTTCAATCAAAAATTTTCAAAAATCAACATGTTTAATTATGTTTGTTAGGATTTCAACATTAATGAATGAGTTTCTTTCTATCTTGTGCCTTCCACAAGTTTCGAAATCTGTGACTATTGAAAAAAAAAGTCTTATTTCACAAGTTTTTTACCGGAAGCGAGTTCCTGCATAAGTCGATTTCTCAATTTTTGGGTGGCCGTATTTCCAAAAGCAAACCAGAGCGCCAATATTCGATTTCTGATTCGCGATCAGTGGAAAAAATACGTAAGTCTAATGAAAATATACGTAAAAACTAGCGCGAGCCTAATAATTACCTGAAATATAAAATTGACTAGACAAGTCGCTAATAGTACAAACGACCTCATCGTGGAGGGTCACCGACTTGACGCCCCCCAGGATAACGTTCTTCGCGATTTCCACTCCCAGCCCCCCCAAGCCCGATATGAGTACATCACTTTTAGCCATACGACGCATTGCGTCGTGTCCCAAAACGTAGAGCTGGCGAGAATACAGCCCCTCGTCGATTTCGCTGGCTCGAGACGGTCCTGAACTGTTCGCCATTTCGAGGGTTGAAGTTTCGAGCTTTCGCTTCTTTGCTGGTGGATCGACGGAGCTGCCTGCAATTGCAGCACTAGACATCGGACGCGAAAGACCGCGGTTTGAGGATTCGTCCATATATACGGAATCACTTCGGAGAAATCATACGAACAATCACTATTAGATGGCCGGCACTAGATAAGACACACGAAAAAAAAAGTTCGTACGCACTGGAACACCACAAAGAGGATAATGGACAAAGAAATTCACTGCGCAAGTTCGCTTGAAGTTTCATGCGTCACGGACCAACTTTGATTTTGTTCGGTCGCTTTCGTATTTTCAACGCGAATACTATTTCTTTCTTTTACATTCGGCTAACAATTGCCACGTTTTAAATGTGCAAATTTTCTTGGTAGGAAATAGCATTTCTACTTTCAAGATATCTGTCTTTGTTAGAAACTGTAATTTTGACTTTTATCATTACCCGTTTAATCGACTGCCGAAACTGAAATGTCATTTCTCTTTGTTACCGACCTGACGACTAAGAAATTTGTCGTTTTCTTGAGACTTCTATGGAGAGTAATGGAACTATAAAAAAAGTGTTGTAAGGATGAGGCAAGTTTTCAAATTAACCAACGAAGTTATCAATTCACTAAAATCGTTTGACGGATTATAGTGTCGCATCCAATATCCAATACGTTCTTAAATCTGTTCCTCAGTTGCAATAACTGGGAAACAACAGTTGCAACTATGCTCCCGTGTTGTAGAGAGGGAAATTTGTGGCATCTGTGCTGTTATGTGGTTATAGGTACATTTATTTATTCTCGACTAACTTTCTGTTTTAAACATTTTTCGTAATTATTCTAACAGTTTTAGGAAAGGATACAGATGTCACATTTTTTTTTTGATATTCTTGACGTGAACATTTTTTTTCAACTCGACATTCAACTAGGAAAATCCGACTTTGAACTCGAAACAATATGGATTGTAAAAAATTCAAGTTAGAATAGGTTAGGTCAAGATGAAAAAAAACCTAGAAATTTTGACTTTGAAAGTCGCTACATTGTTGAAATGAGGTCAAAATTTTTCCGTCAACACTCGATTAGCTCGGCAAGCGTTCGATAATGCAAATCTGTTATCTTTGTTACATCTTGTCTGTGTTCGATATATTGACATATTCTGTGGCGAAAGCGAGCGCATTTTCATTGGCATATGTTTACTTAAAACTCAAATAGTAGTCATTTGGAAACATTTTTTAAATTCAAAATGAAAATTATAAACTGTTCTAGAGAAAAATTCACCGATAGTATATGAAAACCGAGGTAGTTTTGTGATAACAAATGCCAGCTTGTCATACCAGATATAATCACAGAACTAAAACTTAGAGAGTTTTGTGGATATAAGTGAGCGTTCCTTAAATATATTTCGCTCCCTTGACTTCACAGAACTATTATAGTTCTGTGGTTGACTCTGTGATCACGTAGTTTTAATTTACATCTACTCGATCAACTCCAGATTTTCAAAAACGAACATATTTTGTGTGTGCTACCTATGGAAGATGGAACTATTCATCCGATATCGATTAAGAAAACAATATTCAAATCGATCATTTTTTTCCTTTCCCACATTTTTTTGAGAGAAAATTTTTTCTTCAACCGAAAATTTAAACAATGAACCAATACAGGAATCTATCGGATGATTCGGTGAATTTGAGGACTCGTCTTTACATATGATGACCGTTAGGAATCAGAAGAGCCAGTGGAATTTGGGTTGATGTGGGTACCTTCACCACTGTTTTACTCCTGGTTACTGTAAGGGCATTCTATTCTACTGTATACCGCGAATATGTAATTTAAAAATATAGAAACACCAAATCGTAAAGAAAACAAATTATTGAAACTTGATAAGGAATAATTAAATGAATCGAATAACGAGTTTTGGTTAATATTTAAACACTAAAAAAATTGAAATATATCAGTCATCAATCGATGAAGGCGATTATGGATACTATATAACAATCTAAACTTCGTGGAGGAGTTTGATTTCAAATATCCTCATTTTCTTTTTCATCATTTATCTCCATTATTTATATTTTCCCAACTCCTCGTCGCATAATTCAGATAAATGAATTTTATCTATACATAAATAACGAAAAAAACACGAGAATTGACCTCACGTCCTCAGCGCCCTCTCGCGGCAAGAATTTCTCTGGTTGCCCTCGTGATTTTAGGAATGGCTAATACCTTGGCGACGTGAAAATATTCCGTCAAAAGGAGTGATTATTCCGGAGGAGTGAAATTTTTATTATGCCACTAAAGAAAAGTAGAGTTTTTGAACCTAAACAAGAGGAGCCACAGTATCATAATATATTGAATTTGAGAAAGGGGAGGGTTGAGGCCCAAAAATATGATCACAGAAAATTACTTAATCAAAGGTAAGTATTTAGTTGAACTTTTTTTGCAATGAAATTCCAAATCAAAAACAAAACTTTATTTATAAGGCACTTGGTGTTTGATTATCACTAAATATATATAAAAGGGAAAATCAAAATTACAGGTTGTGAGTAATTATAAGTGGATTTTGGCAGTAGTTGCATATGTTTTCAGACAGTCTCATTTCTAAGTTGAATCTTTAGAAGTTGAATTTGATTTTCAAAAGAAAATTCAATTGTATTACTTTTGAAAACATAACTTTTACAATTACAGGGAGACATATGTTAAATTGATATTAATTTATAGTTGGGAGTGTGAGAGACTGACAAAATCATTTCAATATCAACTCATCTTGAGCTGCAACAGTTCCCTTAATGCCTGGATCAATGTTATTGCATTTCTCGTCTAAAAACATTGGATTACAAATTATTTCATAAATCCACCTCAATACCTACCGCATAATTAAAAAAAAACATGTAATTAGTTGAAATTCATTTTCGAGCTAGAGCCATTTCTTCCCTCAGATCCATAACTTCCCTCAACAATTCTTTATTGTTTTCTTGCAACTGCTGAATTGTACTTTTATAAATTTCTTCATTGCATTTATACTTCCCAAGCAATTTCAATGTAACATCATCTCGTGACTGGTATATCCCTAGAAGTAAAGTCGGATATCTTTTTATAAATGTTGCCCCAATAAGCCCTGTAGAAATAAATACTGTACGAAATACATTACGACTGCATGGCAGTAAAAAATGGATAAAAACTCCAGGAAAGAATATATTCAAGATCAAGCAGTTTGCAATCTGAATTACTAAAATTACTAAAATAACAAAAAAGCTATCATGGGATTAAAGACATATAAATCATCAACCTAGATTCAGGCGTGGTAGATCCATCAGTAGGTACAAATCTGCTCATTTATCAACACTTTATAATAACTACCTTACAGAATAGACACCAGTTTGATTCTATTCACACAGATTTTTCACAGGCATTCAACCGAGTAAACTACAATTCGTTGTGGTATGTATGGTGTTTGGGTATTATTCTGAAATTAATTGGAAATTATCTTGCCTACATAGTCCAATATGTAAACTATGGTAACTCAATATCTTCCTCAATCACAGTTCCATCTGGTGTACTGCAGGGATCTCATTTTGGACCATTACTTTTCAACCTATTTGTAAATGACTTGAATTGTTATTCTCTATAGTGAAGTTCTTCTGTTTGCAGATGAACTGAAGACGTTCAAAGTTATTCATGAATCATCTGATATTGAATTATTACAGTATGATTTATCTAACTATTGCAGACAAATGTCATGAATTTCCTTTTTTTCTAAACAAAAAACCCATGAATAGTCCATATAAAATCGGAAATGGAAACAACAAATACAATCAAATATTTAGGAATCACTCTTGACAAAAAAATGCCATTCAAAGGCCATATTACAAATGTTACTTCTAGACCACTGAAAATGTTAGGTTTCTCTCTTTGATCTGCAGAGAAATTATCTATCTCTTTCCTAAAAATCATATATTGTTAAATTTTTTATAAATAATCGAATACCACTCCACAATTTGGTGCCCCTAATATAATGTGGATATTGATATGCTTGAAAGTGTTTAAAACAAGTTTTTATGGTACTCTGCACACAAACTGGGATATCTTGGTGAATATAACTATAAAATTATATTGGACATTTTAAACTTGAATACTCTGACCCATATAGAATCTGATCTTACACTAATTCACAAAATAATCAATGGTTGCATCAATTCCCTGGAACTTGTTGAACTTGTAACTTTGAATGTGAATTCAAAGAGAACAAGAAACACAGAACTGTTCAAAGTACCCTTTTATCATAACAACTATGGCCAGAATGAGTCTATAAGTGGAATTTGGAGATTTGCAAACACTTACAGAACTTTTTAATTCTTTTTTGGAATCATTTGGAAACCCTGCGAAAATATTATAATTGATTGGCTTATTATATTTTTTCCTTACATCTAGCTGATAGGTATAGTATATATGTGTGATTTTATTAATTATATTGTAGAAATAAGCAATGCCATAAATAAATGAATATATTTCACAAGTATTTATAACATATTGTATATTACTTTTCGCAGTTTTTATGAAATGAAAATGTCTGCGTTTTTTACCTATAAGGACATTTTCAAACTTATCAAACTAAAAATTAATGATAATATTACCCCTTATATAACACCACATTTCAAAATATTAATTTTTCCTAAGAAAAATCCTGACTCGTTACATAAAATATAATACTTACCCACATCTGCCCTCGCAATTTCTCTTAATCGTTGGTTTTCTTTTGTCATTTTTTTAATATGGAGTATAAGTTCATTTTGTTTTGATATGTGATACCTTTTTATTTTTTCCATTTCACTTTTGAGTACAGTCTCCTGTTTCATCAACAGTGTATGCTCGTCTGTAAGACTGCTCAATTTATTCTTCAGAGCTTTGATTTTCTCTTCATAATTCCCAAGTTTGACCTTATAATCTTCGAGAAGTTTCTGAAAATTCAAGTCGATTAAAATGTTGCAGGTTAGTGTCACTTTGAGTAACTTCATATTGCAATACTGTGATTAGTAATAAGTCTCACATATAAGTCACTGCTCTTGGAATTATTGATTCTGTTGTCAACATTCACATCTTTCATGTGAGACAGTGTCCTTCTGTGAATCTGTACTAGCGAACGTGCATTATTAACAACTTGCTGGAAAATCTTTGATTTTGTTAACGAAAGGTCTAGAGTTGGAAGACCAACTGAGTCATATTCCTGTAAAAATAAATGAATTGCTAACATCTGCATGTGACATTTTTCATGACAGGTTCCAGAGATATTGTATCCCATTTCCGAGATATTTCCCACTTCTCTGATAGAGACACAACTCGCAATGTTTGTGAAAAATTGAACATAGGATCCCAGTTTATATTATTTCATGAATTCCAATATTTGAAAAGTATATCACGAGCACGAGAGATAGTACAAATAAGATTCTTACAGAAACAATTACCATTGATAACACCGCTAAATTTTCATCTAATCCATTTCTTTTGCAAGTAACCAGTGAGAACTTGTTCTCTATTTCTCCTAGAGCTCTATTCACTTCCTCTACAGTCAATGCGTCACTCTCATCTGAAGACATCTAGAAGCAAACTAATAACGATGTTTTTATTACAATTTCCCAGACGCGTGGGTTTAATTGATATTATTATTTGTTATTTTGGATTTCGATTTGTATTAGAAATTTTCAAATTGAACTGAAGTTCTTGACAGAACTTACGTTGTCATTTGTCAATTCTCATTAGTTTTGTTCGTTTGTAATTTGCATTAAGATTTTCACTTTTTTTTTTAAATTTATCTTTACCTATGAAATATCATTGATTTCAAGAATATTCAATGTAAGTGCGTATATGTAAAAAAGCAAACTTTGACAAGAAAACGTCTAACTATTTAATTATTTTTAAATCAAGACTGAAAGCTGCTCTCATAGAAAAAAATTGCTACACCCTTGAGGAATTTTAGGTTAGGTGTTTTTTTTTTGTCTTCTTTAACGTTCTTGTCACTATTTGACATTATCATTATTTTCAACTTTTTAATTTTAACCATTACCCTCAATTTTACTGTTGTAATATTTGCTACTTTTATGTGTCTACATATATTTTTCATCTTTTTATCTCAATTCTTTCAAAATATTTAGATAAATACTTATGGAATTTAGTTGGTTACTTTGTGTCATTAGTTTCCTACAAATTAACCTTGAGTTGTCATTTTCATTGTTAACGCAGAAAATAAATTGAACTCAAACATCAACTGCATATGACAATTGACAATAATACAAAAACACAGAGTATCAACTAAAAAAAACACATGTGCTGCAAACAAAGTCTTTATTGATACGGACAATGAAATAATACAATGAAAACAACTTTCAAAAAAAAAACCTTCCAAACACAGCAAATAAAAAAACCTTTCAAAAACAGCAAATGAACCTCTAGAAGTTACTTCTTTGTATGATCTACACATCTCTGGCAAGGAGTTTATTTTGAAATTATTTGCTTTCTTACTTTCTTTGAGAGATTCCCACATTTTTTGTATAAATATGGAGGAGTAGAAAGCCAAAACCTTTCAGAAAAATCATTCTTTCCTAAAATTATATCCCTTTCAATTTAAACTAGATTCCTATGGCCGGGATGATAATCTTTTGCTCATATAGTTTTATCTGAGGTTTATTTTCTCCTATTGTAAAATGTTCTTTCACCTGTTGAATGTTTGGTATCATTGTATGACGTAGAATATGTAGATATTGAATAGCAATAATGAAACGAATTAGTGCATTGAGATAACGAAATGCTATGTGAAGTATGTCTTATCTTATATTTGTATATTAGGGATTTCTATTTACTTCCTAGAGTTTTGCACCGTCACCTTACGGCATGGTCTCTCGAATACTATAAAATTGAAGTGGCAACCTTGATCTCTAACCTTTTTTGAAGGTTAGATTTATAGATTTATAAAAAATACAGAAAGAAAAAGGAAAATTCCTTTTTTTCAAAAAAAGTGTTGCACTCTTTCTATTTCTCATAATTTCTTGTCATAAACAAAACCAGTCAAACTCGTAAAGTCAGCGAAGCTATTCTGATCCGAAAAATGGCCCTACCGCCTAGAGAATCTGGAAAATACATCGCCGAACGTGCAAAACACATATCAATTGTTGAGGAAGGCGTGGATGCGCTAGCGGACCTACTAGTGGAAGAATACAAGGCTGGTAGATTGGGTTCCGAAAACTTCTACGAGTGCAGCCTCCATCCGCACCCGAACGATCCACAAGCCTTGAACTGGCTGATTGTTGTCGATACCTTAAATTTTTGCTTTTGGCATGACGAATCCGAAGAGGGATGGAAAGTCGAAGGGCACACTGGATACTTCGCTCTCTGCGCTGCTATTACTAGAGCTCGAAAAGAAGAGGTAGGTAGGAAACATTTGGAACTTGTCTAATATTTTTTATTGTCTTTCACTTCTCAGTGCATTCTCACTACAATAGTGACCTAAATGAAGCTATTTTAACATGTTATAACAAAAAAGTTGAAAGTTTAAAAATGCAATTACTCAACAACCGATTTATACTGTTCTAGCCAGAATTTCTCAATCCCGCCTATTACGCAGCAATTTCCGAGCTCCAGCTGAAGAAAATTCTCAGAAGTGACACAAAATCTCAGTGCCCGTTGATAACAGAGAGAGTGAAATGCCTGCAAGAAGTGGGGAATGTTCTGAACGAGAAATTTCAAGGTTCCTTCGAAAATGTCGTCAAAGAATCCAACAGAAGTGCCGTGAAACTCATGAACCTGGTAGTAGATAACTTTCCATGTTTCAGAGACGAAGCGACATTCCAAGGTCAGAAAGTTAGTTTCTATAAGAGAGCCCAGATCTTGGTAGGCGACATCTGGGCGTGTTTCCGAAGTAAGGGTATCGGGTACTTTGAAGACATCTATGAAATCACCGCTTTCGCTGATTACAGGGTTCCTCAGTCTCTGATGTGGCATGGAATTTTAAAGTACAGTGCACAGTTGAATGAGGTATTGAACAGCAATGTCGTTTTGGAAAATGGCGATGAAAGAGAAGTGGAGATCAGAGGCTGCTGTATTCATGCAGTGGAACTTTTAAAGGAGAGAGTGAATAAAAACCTTGGGAAGCTAAGAGTCACTTCCATAGTTATCGATCATTGGCTGTGGAAATTTAGGAGAGATCATTCCAAACAAGTATTGAAACGAAAAATACCATTCCACAAAACATTCAGCATTTATTACTAATGCTTCAATGGATCTATTTTTACTGCCTGGTTTTTAATACATTCGTTACATATTCTTAGTGTTCGCCTCTGAAGTTTGGTTTTTTCAGCAATTCTGAAAGAATGTTACCACAAATTTTAGTGAAAAAGCTAATCTCAGAGGTATTTGTTGTGTGTTTTTTTTTTGAAAAATCTCCCGAGGAGAATTGATATTTTTACATTGATCTTTTTATATTGAAAGTTTATTATATACGGTAATAATTAAATTGAAGAAACTGTGTTTTTAGTTGATCGAATGAATGAAGTTGAACTTACCGAAGAATGGTTTTCTTCAAACTTCAAAAACGAAGTGTATGACTGGTGTTTGGATATAAAAATTGAATAGTCGACTACTTGAGACTCTGGACTTGGTTTTAATTATAAAACCTTTAACCTACATAATGACTGATAATTTTACCAGAGTTTAGGTAAAAACTAATTGAAAAATCAAACTTCATGAAGCAGAATTTTACCAACTTATTGAATCAATACGTAATAAATTAATTACCAATTTCCATATTTCAAAAACATTCAGAAAGTCAGCGGAGTGGGGGCGAGAGATCATCAACATCGTAGAACTCGTGTAGTGAACATCATATTAGTACAGTAAGTGGAAAATCACTCTGTAAAGTGAACTGTGAGTAATTTGTTGTCTCTGAAAATCAAGGTTCTTGGTGGCAAAGAGAAATTGTGAACAACGTATTGAGATTTAGACAAACGGAAGCAACAGCAGTTGCAATGAGAATTTCTCCTGCGAAGTTGAGAAGTAATAGTAATGATAAGTAAAATTTTAACCAATATTGTATTTCAACTTTGAATGTTCAAGAATGAGTAGCTGGGGCTACAGAGGTTTGCATGCAAACTGTACAAAAAATCAATTTAGAGATGAAAAAAAAAATGGTGAGAAAAAGTTTATCAACTCCAAATAAAAAGAAAATTCCAAAATTGTTATTGATGATGCTGATTTGTCGATTTTACGCATATGCTTAATTTCTATATCGAAGAGAAACGAGTTCCTAGGTTTAGATAAAACTATCATCCGAGATATTATCTATCAGGGTAGAAGGAATTTTTTGCGAGAAGAAATTCATAAACTTGGATTTTGAAGGAAAAAGATGAAAAATAACAGGAACATATTGAACTCCAGCCTATTCAACTACACGAAATATAATTCTTGAAGAAAATGCGAACCCATAGAGAATTTCTATATATATAAAGGAGAGGCTAGTTGTTGCTGACTAGTTAGGAATGGAATTAACGAATAGTGGGGCTTAGCAGCAAATGAAAGAGTACTCTTTGAAGTTTGTCCAAGCTTTCGGAAATTTATATATATACCTGAATGGATTCTGCCAGCCGATTGCAGTTGAATCTGATTGACCAGCGTAAGGAAGCTTTGATCACACATCTATCATTGTTTGGGTTAATTTGTTTATTGGATGGACAGAGTTTAGAACCTAGCACCACTGATGAGACATATGGCAGGTCGAAACAGTGCTGTGTGATGTTGGATTATGAATGCTTTGTTTTTGGGCTATGGTTTCATCACTGAACTGTTTTACTAAGATTGAGATTCAGCTCTTCATGTGCATCAGCTCTGAAGTAGATTTTGGCTTAAGGTTTGTGTTAATTATAACTTGCAGGTTAACTATGACCTTGATGAGAAGGTACGTTACACAAAAACTATTTAAACATAAAAACTCACTAATTTTTATTGAAGTAACAAAATGAGTTAACAAATCATAAATAGATCACAGACTTCCACAAAATAAATTATATGATAACATGAAACAATCATGTTTGTTTGAAGGTGATTGACAATGTTTCGTGATGAATTTCACTAGTTCGGACTTCCATTGTCTATTATATAAAAATGATTTGAAATCCCTGAAACAAGTAAAAAAGAATAATTAAAAAAGAATAGTTGAAAATAACAATTATATTAAGCAACAATAAACCTGAAATGAAATTTTTTACTTGTAGGTTATTTTACTATCATTTCATTTCAGGTTTATTGTTGCTTAATATAATTGTTATTTTCAACTATTCTTTTTTAATTATTCTTTTTTACTTGTTTCAGGGATTTCAAATCATTTTATATAATAGACAATGGAAGTCCGAACTAGTGAAATTCATGAAACAATCATTCTTCAAAAATGGAACTTCCTTTCCAATAATGACCGCCCTCACAGTCAAGACTGGAGACCAAAAGAGAGGCGAACTCTAAAATGAAGTTACGTTCGAATAAATATTAAAAAAAAAAAGACGTATTGAGAGACTGGTCCGCCAGGACAGTAACCAGGCCGGATACCGACGTGGCCAGTTCTATAATATATATGAACATGTGTTTAGCAGTTTTGTTGATTTGTCTTATCGTTAACCATGTTAGCATTATCAGGAGATGACCAGTCATATAGCCTAGAGATTGTTCATTTTTGTGTGAAAAGTGTTTTCAAGTGTATAAAGTCTGAAAAAAAACTAAAGGTGGTCCTAGAAGTACCTGGCCAGACCTAGAGATGGCGGGAGTTGTTCGAAAAGTATCACTGTATTAGAAAGTACACCAACTATAAAGCATATGTTCCAAGTTTGAAGACGCTGCGTTGTTGCTGCTTTGTTTGGCAGCCATCAATAACGAACTTTTTCGGTGAATTTGGTCATCGTTACGTGGTACAATAATTTTATTAGAAAGGCCTCAGCTCAACCAATATAAATGCTGGATTCTAGTCTGGGTGAGTCTGCTCCTTCGTTTACAACAGTAAAATATTGGGTAGCAGAGTTTTAACGAGGCTGTACGAGCTGTCAAAACGAGCATCGCAGTGGTCGATCAAATGAGGTGACGACTCGAGACACGGTGAAGTAAATCCACAAAGCGGTACTGAATGATCGTCGACTGAAAGTGCGCGATCTATCAGACTTAGGCATTTCGAAAAATGCGGTAAATCTTTGGTTATCTGAAAATTTAGACTTGATGGGTGCCGCGTTTGCTCACACTCGAGCAAAAACAGTGACGTGAGGATGTATCAGTTGAGTGTTTAGCGAAGTTTCACAGCAACAAATCAGAATTCTTGCGTCGTTTCATAACCATGGTTAAAACATGGGACCCGAGACAAAAGAACAATCAAAACAGTGGACTCAGAAGGGAGAACTGGCTCCAAAAAAGGCGAAGACCGTCAAGGTCATGGCATCGGTTTTTTGGGATGCACGTGGGATAATTTTGTATCAACTATCTGCAAGGAAATAAATTCTTCCCAAAATGTATGTGTTTTCTCTGTTGGTCCAGGTAATTTCGGGACCACCCATTGTCAATGCTATGGCTTAGACTCTATGTGTTTTGTGGTTCCAACATGAATATACAGCTTCTCATAAACTGTCTTAATAAATGGACGTAAGTATAATTTTTTTCCTGAATGAGTTCAAGACTTGATTTTAAAACTAATGACTTACAAATAAAAGCCTTATGAATTTAAGTACTTCATTGAATACCAAAGATTGCGAATTTTTCAAGTTTTAGACCATAAGACATATGCCACATGTACTTATTTATGTCAAAGAATATGTTATATTTTGATTGATTCTGTACTTTCACAAGCATACATAAAACATTGTGGAAACTTTTGAATCAAGAAATAAGTACAATGAACTTTGAATGAAGATTCTCCCTAAATTTACGTTTCCTAAATGACCCGTTTTCTGATAATATTTTTCTCAATATCGCACTTTTCTTCAAACAAAGGGAACGTAACAAGCATATGGACAAGTTTATTGTCTTTCTGTATGAAGATACACTAAGGCGCCTCTTCCACTGATAGCAATTCGTCAGAAATCGCACGAACGATCCAAACACATGGATCGGTAGGGACTGCGTCCACTTGGACCGTATCGTTCGTCAGTTTTCGTCCGACTAGGTACGAATTGCGAACCGATTCCGTTCTGCTGGGAATTGATTGCAATCTAGTGCAAAAATAGTTACAATTATGTATTGAAATCTGTCTTTCCTCATTCGAAAATAAGAAAAGTGGAGGTCATCGTCGATTTGAAGATCATGCCATAAACGAACTCGTTGCTTCGCTGTCCGCTCCCAGTAGACGAGAGGCCTAACGGTTTAGATAGATCCTGAGAATAAATGGAATGAGCTTGAGGATTGTATCAAAAAATATATCGGTCATACTAAGCGTGCGATCAAAATTCGTTTCAAAGAACACACATAATATATCCGATTTCGCAGACCAGAAAACTCAAGTGTCGCTCATCAGCTTTGGATAACGGCCACTGAATAAACGAAAACTGCCTGGAAATGTTGTGATCAGACACTAGTTTTTCGAATGCTTATGAAAGTCTGAAAATAACAAAGTTTGGCATGAGAACTATGAACAGTGACAAAGGTCGCATTCCAAACAGCCCATTTCTTACCTTTTCATGAATCACTTTGTTGAAATTAACGGGAAATTTCACGAGAAAAGTATTGCAGTTTTGGTAATTGAGAAAAGTGCTTGTTTTTTGGATTCGTACTTCATCTAAACGAAAATAGTTTTCTTGTGACTCATAACTTACTATCTAAAACTAGAAAAATTTGGAAAAAATCCTCTGCTCCTTCATTATTCTTTAGAAAGTGGGGAAACTTCTTTTCAATGGTGAGGAAGCAAAAAGCCAAAAGAATTCTTTCCCAGAAACTAAGCTAAAAAATTCCCGTTATCAACTAGAATAATTCTAACTTGAAACAGTATAAAGTCTTATTCTAATCCAGATATATATATA